GATCTTGGGCACACACGCACACGCGCCCAGCATGAGTTTAAGCCACCAGGTCCAGGACTCGAACTGCGTTTGACTATGTGGGGGGAGTTCAATGACATAGCCATTACGCTAACTGCTGGTCCTGCTATCACTTGAATTTCTGCTGCTTCCTAAATATTTCCTAAACTTCAAAGATGATGTGCACAAGATTCATCTGTCTACTACTCAGTTTTTTCCCCAATTTTAATTTTTAACTCCAATATGTATATGCACACTTAAACAGAAATATTTAGTTAAATTTTTGTTTTGATTCAGTGCCAAAAAATTGGTAAAAAATTTTACTGCCCCCCGCCCCTTTTAGATGAGTTCCCTATTCAATATTCTTATTTCTCTGTGGTTCGATATAGGTGGTCATGTCACAACTTGGTTTTAACCCTATTATATCTTGGTTTTAATGGTATTATATCTTTCAGAGTATTCTTAGTCTGCAATCTGGATCACAATTAAACTGCAAATCTGATTATATAATGTATCACTTCCTTTGGCTTTATAGTATTTATACTCTGTGTTGTAGCAAATGATAAAGTGATATTCATTTTTATTTGGACTCTATCAATATTTTTTAATGCACAACTGTAGTATAAAGATGCTTCTAAATATATTTCAGTTTATGAGTAATTAACAGTATGCACATAAAATATTTTATTGGAATTAGGTTAAGTATTTAAATACAAAATCACTTTGTAATCAGTTCCTTGATCACCTTTACTGACCTTGTCTTTCATCACAGACCAAGAATACTTACCTAGATATACTGCTTCTACTTCCATTAATATTAGGAATAAACTTTGTGTTTTCATAGGAAGACTGCTGTAGTTCCATTTTCATAAGAGCATTTTCATACATGTTCTTAACATCATTGACTTGAAGCACAAATTGATAATACAGAAAAAAAGAAAAAAAACTTTCTATTTATTTAGACTGGTTACCATCAACTTGTGTCTAATTTACTTAATATAACACATTACTCCAAATATGCATTTATACTTGTGTGTTTATATGAAATAATAAACACCTTGACATAAAAGAATATTTTTTATGCTTTTATCCCTTGCAGCAAAAACATTTGGAGATCTCTGAAGAAATGCTTGTAATAAATTTATCAATGAATAAGTTGGCAAAGAGATAGAATGTCAGTACTTTATTTTTTTCTCCCTTTACAAAGAGTTCAAAAATATACAGAGGAACAAGGATATACAAACATACAGAGAAAGTAAATTTTTCATGTTATGTATGCTCTATTTCTCATGGCTGATGAGGGAAAATATATTTTTATAGGGATTCATATCATTTGAGGATGTTGCTATGGACTTTACCTGGGAAGAGTGGCAGGACCTGGAAGATGCTCAGAAGATTCTATACAAGGATGTGATGCTGGAGACCTCAGCAACCTGATGTTTTTGGGTTAGTGGAACTTCCATGAAGCTCTCTGAAGTAATTAGTGTCTCCTTTCATAATAAATGTACAAGAGTTTCACATTGTTTAATGCTGTTGAAGAGTGAGATTTCATTCTATGGTTAATATGAGTGGCACTCCTCTTTAATAAAATGCCCAAATCAGCCCCTTTATTACACAGCTGATAAAGCTGAACCATTGTTACTCTTCAAGTAGCTTACATGAACATTCCACACTTGTTTTTATTAACAGAACAATCCATTGCCAAACCTGCAGTGATCATCAAGTTGGAGCAAGGAGGAGATCCATGGATATTAGAAGAAGTTCCCAGCTTGAGCCTCCCAGGTTAGTCAGTGCATAGTTTTCAGGGACTAGTGAAATACATTTTCTTTTAAATAATTTATATTTCATTGAGAGAGGAAAACAAAATGTTAGTACTGGTGGGGTTAGAAAAATGTAGAAATGTTTTCCTGGGATAAGAGTGTGAAAAAATGGGTATATATATTTTTTAAAAGGTCCTATGGGATAACATATTTAGGATAATTAGTATGTATTATTATTGGCTACAAGTCCTTCCTAAGTAACATTTCTTCTTAAGTGACAAGAGTTCTCTTGACATTTGCAAATAGATGATCTAGGAAATTTATGACATTAGCAAAGAAACAGTACACAATACCCACTGTTACAAGAAAGAAAAGAGAAAAAGGACAGGGAAAACAAATGATGTATGGAAATCTTTTAGTGTAAAATTATAGGAAGACAGAAGGTAGATATTTTGAATATTATTAAAGGTATTAAAGGAAAAGGAAGCATAAAGGAACAAAATAAATTCACTCAGCTTTCAAAACCATTAATGTAAATTGCTACAGTAACATATTAAAGACAAAGAACCATATTTCTTATTATAGATCACTACCAATATTTGAAATATACATGAGTAGTGTAAAATAAATTCTCACATATAATTTATGGAAATGGTTGTCTTTTTAAACCAAAGAAGATTGATATGGGAGAGACTGCTTGTAAGTACAATAAATATGGAAAAGCATGTGGTAAGACAGTACTTATTGCCCAGTATATAGTTCACATGTGGAAGAAAACATTTTACAAAAAGTCAACTGTCTCATTCAGCAGAGGATGACATAAAACACAAGATGTACACTTTAAATGTAGAGAATGTGAAAAATTATTTTTTAAAATCATTTTTACAATATATTTTAAACAGAGTGGAAGATTTCCATTCATAAAAGTAAGAGGAATTCTTATTGTAGAATTAAAATCTAGCTTTTCATCAGTGAGTACACACAAGGAAAATACTATACAAATATAAAAAATATAAAAAATCCTTTTTTTAGAGGTCAAAAATTATGGTAACCAGATAAATTACAAAGAAGTAAAATCTTATAATGTGTAGAAATTACCAAAACTTTCCACTCTTGTTAGACATGAGATAACACTTACTGGAGAGAAAATTTGTAGATAGAAGAATATAAGAATTTGTTGTGTCTGAACACACTCCTTACTGACCATTTCAAAACATATACAGGAGAGAAGCTCTATAAGTGTAAACAGTGTAAGAAAACATTTTCCCAGAATTCAAACCTTACTGTACATCATGGCGAAATTCTATGAAAATGAAATGTGTGGAAAAATGTTCTACAAAAAGTCATGCTTCACTGTGCACCAGACAACTCACACACACTGGAGAGAAATCCTATGAATGTGGGGAATGTGGAAAATCTTTCAGTCCCAAGTCAGTCTTGAGTAGACATTGGAAAACTCATATAGTAAAGAAACCCTATGAATGTGAACAATATCAGAAAATGTGCTCCCAGAAGTCACATCTCACTGAACATCAGAGAACTCACACAGGAGAGAAAACCTTTGAATGTGAACAGTATGGGAAAACATTCTCCAGCAAGGAGTACTTCACTGTACATTAGAGAACTCACACAGGAGAGAAGCCCTATGAATGTGAACAATGTAGGAAAATGTTCTCCTGGAAGTCACATCTCACTGTGCC